CGAGTTTTTACGGAACTATGTACAATTTGTATAAGCATACTCATTTCTGCATTTGATAGGGGATAACTTGAGTTTTGTATTCATACAAACTACTAATGTGCGTCGGAAAGGTCGGCGGTCGGATAAATTATGGTATGGACGGTACTTGTAACGGGGTTTCACGAAACTCTAACCGTAACGCTAATCGGTCAAAGTTAGAGGTTTCCCGTCTTGGTGTGCTCACACACCAAGACTGCATTTTAAGGGATCCTATTGGTAGAGTGCGCCACACCTCTACCAATCAGCGATTCGAATCACTGTCGGCCACCCGCTGACAGTCCCTTAGATATTCGATAAACAGTTTAGGAAGGAAATCCTTTAAACAAACAATACAGTTCTCATTTTACGCTATCTAGCTCCTATCTTGTCTTACCGTACACCCGCATCGTGTGTACGCTATACAAGCTAGGAACACCTACGCTTCCTCCTACATGTACGCACACGTGTAAGCTAACTAGTGAGCCCTAGGCCCACTACACCTGGTAGCACTTTGTAGTCCGTCTAACGACCGACTACCTTGTTCGTATGAGTTACGAACACGGGCAAGAGAACCTTCTGATGGACGGGATGTCTGTCAGAAGCCCCAACACAGCTGCGACGCATGTGGTGCGTGCAGACTGCCTCCATCTGGCGGATCCAGAGTGGGAGGCGCTCCAACGACTGTCAACGGTCATTGGAGAGGCGGCCGTAGCGACCATGCTACACACGCTATCGCCGTCAGAGCAACATGGCGTTGCTCTGGTATTCATCTTGAGCGAGAATGTGAGGTTGCTGCCGCGAGTACAGTGTCACTTGGGGTGACACCGCGGAAGGGGTATCTGACGTTACACGTGAGTAACTACGAAGGTAAAGAAGGTGAGGCCCTTCTTCGTTGACTTGCCGAACTCGACACTGCCATTATGGCTCGACGTATTGTGGACCCACTGTCTAAGGTTGCATTCGCCATGTCTTGTCTTGACGGAAGAGCGCGGAGTTGGGCCTACGAGCGCCGACTCGCCGATCCTACGTGCTTCAGCACGTACGATTCCTTTAAGAGGGCGCTCAAACTTGCGTTTGAGCCCCTGAAGAATGAATTCCGGTCGAGAGATGAGTTTCTCGACCTGCAACAGGGTACGCCAGATGTACATGCGTACGCCCAACGTGCACGGTACTTGGTCTCTAACGTGGTGACCAAACCGATTGACGAGACGACCAAGGTCGTCACGTTCATGAAGGAGCTGAAGGATGGTCCTGTGAAGACCTATCTTTTCCGAGAGTACCCGAGCACTCTCGAAGCTGCGATAACTCTCGCCATCCAAGAGGAGTTTAGCCTGAGGCAGGCTAAACTACATGTGGACGTTCTACTACCGCCTGAACCGGCGGTTGATGTGGCGGATGAGGTGGAAGGTCCAGAACCAATGTACCTTTCAAGTGCAACTGCTGCGGGGCAGCAGGGGACAAGAGCCAACGTGCAATGCTTCCGGTGCGGAAACATCGGACATTATGCATGCGAATGTACGACACCAGTACAATCGGTCCTTGGTCGACGTGGCGATACAGGGCGTCGTCACCGGGCTTGCTGACACGTGCCCGCGTGTACAAGAACCCGCCGGCGATCGCCCGCAGACTGAAATGTCTGCCGGTGGTATCAATGAACATGGGTCCGTGGCCGAGCCTGGACGGAACGCATATGAATCCGGGATTGACAAGAAGAAGCGACGGCGCAAGCACAAGACGCTTCATGGTATGTCTGCTGGGCAGGCACAAGAGCCGACAGTGGCCGTCGAGACGTTGAACGTCTTGACGCCAGCCTGTGCTGGATACCAGTAGAAGGAGATGGAGTTATAGAACCTTTCGACTGATATGTCGGAGTTGACCTCGCTTTCAGTCATGAGCTGGAAGCACTTCGCAAAGGACCTGTACGATGAGCACATTGAACAGCTATGCATTCGTTCGGATTGCGAACGAATGACAAGCGAAGCAGATGAGTTGAAACAACTCTTCGCTGGAAGCCCCACTGAGAGTTATGATACTCTCACTGGCAAGACGGAGCATGAACCCTTCGACGAGCAGATTTGCAAGATTATGCGAGAGCACATGGATGTGCTCTCGGACGAGATTACCGCGGAAGATTAATCCGGGGACGACAGTGGATACTGTCGCGGGATCAAGCAAGGTGCGTGACGCATTGCTTGTGTTCGGCGCGCGACTTCGCACCGAACTGCTTCTACATGATATTCGTTCACAGCCGGGCTATGGACGGGAAGAAAAAACGCGCGCGGAAATGGACCGCGGCGTGGTCGCAGCTGTTAGATGGGGCCAAGCTGGACTTGGCTGCTGCGCCGATCTTGGTAGTGGTTGTCCAAGATCGTGCCTTTTCCCGTACACATCCGATTTCGCGATCGGATGCGTGTTGATGATCCAGTGCATGACAAGGAAACCT